TGGACAAAGTTCTATGCGACCAATTTTCGACGCTGCGAACAAGATCATTTTTGGTTGCACAGAACTTTGCTTATTATGAAAACAAAAGATGCATATATATAAAATAAACTGTTCTTTGTAGATTGTAGAGCTTTTCACGCTGTATCTTGCAGTATATTTTCTTTTCTTTTAATACAACATATTAGGCGATAAAAAGACGAAATAAAAAAAAATGAATTCGTAGTGTACCAAAAACTGATCTTGTTTGCAGCGTCGAAAATTGGTCGCACAGAATTTCGTCCATTTTGAAAACAAAGAGCGCATGTATAAAATAAGGTTTTCAATGTAACTTATTGAACTTTTCATGCTGTGTCTTATGGTATACTTTGCTTTTCAAATAGACGTACTTAACGATAAAAAAAAGAGATACAAACATCGGTTAACTTTGAAAGTTGGGTACTTTTAATGTGTCGGATAATCTTCGTTTAACGCTTTTCCTTAACTTTCTACACAAATAAGTTTGATTATGATTTTACAGAGAATTTGACGGTGCATCTTTTGGAAATACAATTAGCTCTAAAGACCAAAAAGAAAAAAAGTTATAGTCAAAATACTGAGAGGTCCATTTAATCTGGACCACTCGTTAGAATCAATGACTCTAATAGAAAGAACGATGATAATACAGTGATTTCGTCGCTTATTGTATACAGCGCTGGCTAAAGCGCCTTCTGTCTGATACTTTGCTAAATTATTCTTATGTAAATCACTATAAATCGGCATATCACACATACAGTACTCCATTATTGTTGGCCTGAATCTCTTGAATGATAAACTAGATGACGGTCTATCTGACTACATCATTGACATAGGCAGAACTTGCCTATCCAAAATTCGCCCGTTAAAGGGTTAAATATGTTGCTTAGTCCAAAACAGATGTCACCAGAAGAAGATTTCATCTGTTCTAGTTTTTACCTAAAAGACTTGTCTCGATAGAAGGTTATATTTCGTTGGAGGTTCAGTAGTTAAACTCGAATGTATTTGTAGAAGATCGTGGGTCGGCGGATGTAGTCGTTGATGTTACTGTGAAGAGAAAAATATTCACAAACTTCTACGAATTTGCCTGAATCCAATTGTTGAAACTCCGGCAAAATGTAGAGACTATGCTATTAAGACAAGTCTTTTGTATAAAAATTAGGAATAATAAACTAATTAATTATGATAAAATGTTATATATATACTCAACAGATCGTATTTGATCCAGATTAATTTCTGGTTATGAATTCATTCGGCAGAAATAGACTAATTCACTGTACTCTGTAGAACCTCTATGCGTGCCTTAACTTGCGAATTTTTTATTTCATGGGTCCTTAATCTTACCCTAGTTGGACCAGTCTAAAAGTGATACATAGCTAAATAGCATCATGTAAGCTGTTGACTAGATTGCTTTCTTTCATCATGGATGTTTCCTACTACAGTTCTTTCATTTTTGAAGGTTCGTATCCCAATATCATTGTGAATAAGTGAGTAAATCTTTTTTGATTATCTTAAAAAACAAACATTTATTTACAGTTTTTATAATAAACATTTCTTTTTTCGATTGTTAGATCCAAGTGATATCAAACGTAGTTTATGTCAAACAATGCAAGCTATACGTTCCATAAATTATTTTCGTGATACTATTAATACTGCGTTAAATTATTTTGGTCGAAAACAAAAACGAATAAAAAAAGTTCAATCAAATCAATGTTCAAATGAAAATAATGATGATGATTTAATTGAAATCATTGCTGAAGATGAAAATGAAATTCCAATAATTGAACCAACAAATTCTTTACATAGTTCATATAATTTATTTTATAAACGTTTACCATTAACAATTGTACGTGATGTAAATATTCGACAAAGTCGTGTACGTGATTATTATAAGAAGACATTTGAAACAAAAATATCAGAACCAATTATTAAAATAAATTCTTTAGTTGATCAACAAAATGAAAATTTAAATGAGAATGAAATTGAAGAAGCATTTCAACATGATCTTGAACATAATTTTGAAACTATGGATGCTAATGATGATGAACAGAATAATTCATTAGATATAATTGTACCAAATAATGATAATGATTATGATGACAATTTAAACACAGATTTCGATGAACTTAATATTGAGAACGATATTGATCAAAAACAATCAGCAGTGTTAGTTAAACTAGAATTTTCCAAATGAAATCATACGAAAGTAAATTCATATAGGACTTGCTTAGAAATCAATAACATAAGAAAAGTTCATACAAGAGCTAAACAGCCTACTTAAAGTAACTCTATATATCAAATGCGTAGTTAATTTCTTCAATTTTTTTGAATTGAGATTTAATTCTAAGAAAAACAAAGAACATCAAATACGATATAAGAATTATTGTCTAGATTAAGTCTCATTGGTAGTTACAGAAAAGTGACATGAATATATCTTAGGAGTTAAAATATTAAACAAAAATAAATCGAATTTTAGCATTAACTTTTTCAATAGAAACCAAACAGTTCGGTTTGCATCAAAATATGATATACAAGATAATTATATTATTTTCTAATGAGCTTATACAAATGAAAGTTAGTTCAATAATATGTTTTACATCTAATAAGTGAAGTCCACTAACTGATTAATTGCTTTTGAGTCAGTATTATGTGCATCATGTAGATTCTAATGAGTTGTAAATATTCTAAAAAGAATTCAGACTCTTAGCTTATTACTGCGTAGATATTACAAATGTAGGGGAGTTTTTAAATGAATACCGTAATCCTCCTCAGGAACACCAAGAAGACTACTTTTCATGTTTCGAATTGAAAATTTGCACAAAAATAGACCTCAATGAGAATAGTCTATTGTGAAAGTTTCAGATTTTTTTATTTGATTCTATTATGAAATAAGAACGTCGAATCTGTCATTATATATTGGGCTACATAAAAGAAACACTTTTACCGCAGTTTTATATTAAGATAGGAACAACAGCAAGATGCTATACATTCACAATAAACTATTATCGTTAAGGCGTGTCTCTGTACAAAATGCCACATCGAAATTCAAAAATCCGATTTTCTTGTGTTCCTAAGAAGGACAATGGCATTTTTTTAAAAACTATCGTGAAAGTAGTATATTTCAGAAGCAATACACGAAAGACTTGAAACGTTTTTAGGATATTCATAGCTCATTCAGTACTCAATTATGCATGTAGTCTCGACTTAAAAGTGATTAATCTGTTGGAGACTTCTTTTGTAAGATAGAAATATTCTAAAATTTTTTTAATAAATACAGTTGAAGACTAATATACTAAAATTGTAACAGTTAACAATGTTCAAAAGATTGTCCTGTTGTGCTTAATTCGTAATGATTTCAATTTATTTTAATTTTCTAGTCTTCATATCTTTTCACGAACTATCTTTCAAAAAAAAGTCTATCGTTTTTTTTTTTGGATGATAAATCATGTGACGTAGAAAGTTTATCTCTCTGTTGTTTTAAACTACTTAGGGCATACCAAAAGGTCGTGCAGTGATACTTTAATACCTTATAATAAGCTTAAAGTAACTTTCTTTCTACATAGTCTGATAGAGGAAAAAAAGCTCTATCTTTCTATGCTATTGGATCGTACTTCAACTAATATGATGATAATAAATTTTCGATAAGACTTTTTTCATTAGTATTTGTGCTCGTTGTAAGTTTTGCGTTCCAGTTTTCAATTCCTTATTAGTTGTATTAATAACCAAAATATACTATAAGATACAGCGTGAAAAGCTCTACAATTTACGTACGGCCACTTATTTTATAGTTGCACTTTTTATTTTCGAAATCGACAAAATTTTGAGCAATCAAATTGTGACTATGCGAAAAAAGATAATGTGTTCGATAGACAACGAATTCATTTTTGCTATTTCATTGTTTCATCACCTGATATGCTTTATCAAAAGAAAAACAAAATATACCACAAGATGCAGCGTGAAAAGCTCTACAATCTACACAGTAAAGCTTATTGTAATTGTTTTCAGAAAAAGGAAAATTCTATGCGACCAATTTTCTCAATGTCCAAAATTTGATCCCTGAAAACTTTATCGATTTTGAAAACAAAAAGTGCAGCTATAAAATAAGTGGCCGTACGTAAATTGTAGAGCTTTTCACGCTGCATCTTATGGTACATTTTGGTTGT